GGCTGGATGGATGTATGTATGTATGTCCTTTCTGTGCGTGTGTGCGCGTGCGTGCTTGCACGTGTGCATGTGTGCCTGCATCTTATGACTTTGCTGCTGTAGTGCGCACGTCATTCATGGGAAATGACTGCATACCCCATTGCGCCTGGATGTTTTTGTTCGACATCAGCAACCAGCAAACACTTACCGACTGCCACAAACATCTGAGGCCTCACATCCATCTTCTCAATGTTGCTTGATAGTGCAAGATACATGCGAACATCTTGGTCACCAACGTCAGCATTGATCTGTTGAGCCAAAACACTGCGGTTTCAACTCTCGCTCCTGTTAGTTACCCTTTCAACGTTGTTTCGTAAGTTGTTTCGGCGACTTGAAGACCCAATTGGAAAATCCTTGCCACAAACCAGCATGTCATGACAAACAGGAAAAGGCACATATCATCTCATAGATTGGTTTGACGTCAGAAAGGATTCTGCGATTCACACGGACGAGACATCTTTCCTCTAATGCGATCAAGCTTTGATCCCGTACTGTCGCCTGATCTGGAATGGAACATGCAAACCCACTTTGGGCGTTCTCCAACATACCTGCCGCAAAGTTACCGAAAGTGTCACCGTCACCCAAGGCAGAAGCCACGCGACAGCGCACAAAAAAAGTGCAGGAATGAGGATAGGAGAGAAGATCAGTGAACATCAAGTGATACAGTACAGTTTCAACGTGAGAGTCGGAGAGGATCAAAGTGCAGGACACTTTAGGTGTTGGATTGAGGATGTCGAATCGGAGAAGAGCAAGTCGAATCTTGAAAAATATAGAATTGAAATGAAGAAAAGTGCTTGGCACATCTCTAATCCACCGCTCTGCCATGTTGGTCGAAGTTCAATTCCATGCTGAAGCTGTGGGTCAGTGCTTCACTCTGCTCTCCCATCCTCACGTTAAACTGCACTTAAACTGCACTGTGCTCATCTGATGTTTTTACTAATGCTCACCTCTGTGAATCTGTCCAACCTAAAACCTCCGTTGGTCCATTTTCAAACTTCAAAAAAAGCGCAGACTTCCAGCAAATAAAATCAAATTTAAAGAACGAAAATCTCTCCGCTTCTCCACACCACACAAGACGGCAAAGAACCGTTTGAAAGGCTTACAGTGAAGAAACAAGTTCAAGCATGCATCTTCCTGAAAACAAAAAAAAGAAACCAAGAAAACTGACAAAAGGAAAAAGTAGAATGAAAAATGAAATTTCGCAAAGCTACAACGCCTGGACCCATTGGTTGCTGGCTGCTTTTTGTGGTGCGCCATTTACGCGCGAATAAATGCATCCCCGTGTTGTGTTAAGACTCTTTGCTGAAAAGAGTAGCACATTGGCAGCCAGCAAAGACACCTTACTCTCTCTTCTCTCTTGCTTTTGACGACAAAGAAACATCCCCGTTAGACCAAAGAGCGTGCAATGTCAGAGCGGCAACTGAAGCATACACTACTGCAACAGCACTGATCTAGCCGAAACGCATTACTGCATGAAACCTCCAAACTGAGATTCAAATGTTGCAAAGAAAACCAAGACTGCTGCACCTGTTCAGCAATAAATCATTTCTTCTTGAATTTGAACTTTGGTTTCAAAAGAAGACAAACCTAATCCATTTTTCAAGTCGGGGTTCAGGTCGGCACTGGCTTTGCGCACAAAAGAACACAGCTGTAGAAGAAACGCAAACATGATGTTTTCTTGCAATAAACTTAGAAACGAACAAGTCCAGTTCAAATCGAAGCAAGAAAGCGACACGGCAGAAACAAGTCTTCAAGAATTTGCGATCAAAACAAAGAAAAAGATGTTGAAAGAAAATGAAACCATCCAGGTTCAATCCAGGATTTTATCCAGCTGCAGTTTGTTGCCTTACTGTGAGACCTGTGCGTGCTGCAGGTGCTGCATGGAAGATAGAACCTGCGAAGAACAATAGTTTTCGGCAAAACAGCAAGCAAACGCGAATCTCAATCTGTTATGTTTGAAGGCTGCGCAAGCACTCCAAAATGTCTTTAAGCTCAGGTTTCTTTGCGGATGCGGGTCTTGCAGCTGTCTACTGCGCTCGGTTCAAAAAAAAAAACTTTTCATCAAAAAGCGGGGTAACAGAAGCTGATTCGAAGGCTGATTCCGCAGAGGAAGCAAAATTTTCAACACTACAAGCTCTCTCTGGGGAGGGTGTTCCAG